GGGTGTGTCTAGACTACAGGGTTTTGTCGAAAAAAGTGGACTTTTGTCGACAAAACTATACCTGCGTCTACACTACTGCCGAGTTCTGTCGACATAATGTCGACAGAAGTTGGCAGCTTTGTTGACAGTGGTAAACCTCATTCTACGAGGAGTAACGCCTTTTGTCGACAGAGTTCTGTCGACAGAAGGTGTTCTTGCATCTACGCTGTCCTTTGCGTCCACACTCATGTCAACAAAGCGGCTTGCTTTGTTGACAGAACTGGATGCAGTTTAGACACTCTGCCTACAAAAGCCTCTGTTGACAAAAACCTGTAGTCTAGTGTTGTGTGGATGGTCTAGGAATGTCTTGGCCAAGTAGGGCCTGGTGGAGGAAGGGCTAGGGTAGATGTTCACTACTTGGTGAGAGAAGGCGGAATTGGTAGCAAGATGTTTGGAAAGCAAAAGTGAGGTCATCTGACAGAGGAGGAATAAGAAGTTCTCATGAACCTCTGGTTTCCGGCAAAAAACAGAAGGCAAAATGGGTAAGACTGAGTGAACCTCTGAAGTGAAAAAAGGAGTCTAGCAGAATCCAAGGCGCAAAACGTGGCAGGTTTTACTGGCCCCTGAGGAGCGAGGGAAAGAACCTTCTGGAAACCGAAAACAAGCTGCCAAACTAAAATAGATTCTAAAGGTTTTGCTGCTTTTTTGCAGAAAGCTATTTTGTTCTAATTTATTAGTGGTAGAACTTAGCTTACCCGATCCCGTGTTCCTCTCACAAGCAGAGCCGTGGACTATCTGAGCTGCTCTGGTTTGCATCGCATTGAACGTTTTTCCTAATAGCAGTTTGTAATGGAGTCCCTGTGAAGATTTCAAACACCACCGGGCGAGTCTAGCTAAAGTGAGACTAAGTGCTAGGGTTCGAGGTTTATAACCGGAAGCTGCTGTGCAGAGTTGGGAGAATTAGCCCAACGAGGCAAGAAATGGACTTTACGTTTGCTTTTGCAAAAGCGGCGAGGAGTCCTGTGGCACCTTATAGACTAACTGAAGTGTAGGAGCATAAGCTTTCGTGGGCAAAGACCCACTTCGTCAGATGCCTTTGCTTTTGGTGTCACTGGGTATGTCTATGCTACAGTTTTTCCGAAGAAACGGCTGTTTTTACGGAAAAACTGTGCTTACGTCCACACTGCAATTGCAGAGCGGCCATCAGGACACCTGTGCTTTTTCCTGGAGGCCTCTTCCGCGTCCACACACGCCTTTTTCCGAAAAAGCTTTTTCGGAAAAAGGCGCGTGTGAACACGCGAGAGAGGGAGTTTTTTCGAAAGAAGAGGCCTCCAGGAAAAAGCACAGGTGTCCTGATGGCCGCTCTGTTCACAGTAATCACAACTGAAATGCGAGAGAACATCCAGTGTGGACGCTATGTTTCGAAAAAGCAGATCGCTTTTTCATTGCGCTTTTGCTGTGTAGCCGCTGTCTTTCGAAAGAAGCTTTTCTGGAAAAGCTTCTTCCAAAAGAAGCTTGAAGTCTAGACGTAGCCTTAGAACAGAGCCAACTTCATTTTCCCGGTCTCGGTGGTCTCAGTGCCTCTAGCATCAAGAAATCTTGTCTCCTAGCACTGAAAGATTTGCCAAAGCTGCTAGACCCGTGCAGACATTTCTGCGCATTAGTGTGTTGGCAGCAGGAAATCAAGGTCTTCCCTCATTAGTCCGTAGGGTCACAACATCCCACTGCTACAGAATTAATTCCTACTTACTTTGGAGGGTTGTGAGCAGTCATTCTCGTCAGCTTCGGCCAATCAGAGCCAGGCTTTGGAGGACTGGGCATGAAGAATTGTCGTTTTCGAGATTCTAATCGTATCCCGGAGGTGCACGAGCCAGCATGCCTCTACCGACTGACACCTGACAGGAATGTGTATAGTCATGGTCACTTTCTAAGCATGAAACCCAGGGCTGGTCGTCTTGGGGCTTTGCATGGCTCTGGGTGGTTTTTCACATTGTCTGGATGGCAGAAGTAGGATGGGCCGTGGTTCTACTGTTGTCGGAGTAGAGATATTTATGGGATCCTGAGGGCAGACCGCACTTTGATCCCAGTCTCCCTGCCCCGTATTTCAATCTTCCAACACTTCGTTTCTCCTCTGTGCTCTCGCTCACGAAACAAGGAACGCTGTCGTGTCGGCGAGTTAAGGGGCCTTTCACTGCTAGATCACTTTCACGTATGCACAAGTGGACAAAAGCGAGGGGAGGGGGGGATGTCAATCTAGGTTCTAGTGCAGGGGTGGCCGACCCATTAAATGAAACGGTGGAAAAAATGCGAAGAGCCACACCGGAGTTTTTATTTTTGAGCAATTTTTGTTGAGATAAAAAAAAAAAGATGCTGCCCCTTTAAAAAACAAGGCTTTTTGGCCACATCAGATGTCCATTGGCCGCCGCCATCTTGAATCGCTGCACCGGACAGCTCCCGTGCCCCGAAGAGCTCAGAGCGGGCTGGGGACCATTTCTAGGGGCGCTGGGGCGACGTTGCGGGTTGGCCACCCCTGTCCCGGTGCATCCCCTACTATGGTTGGCAAGAGAAGCTTGTTTTGAGACTAGCCGCAGACTCCGGGGCTGCCGTCTGGCCCTTCCACAAGCCCCTAGTTCCCCCCGTGCGGCGATATTAGAACTCGCCTTGTGAAATCCAATTGCACCTAATTGTTGTTTCCTTCGTTTCTCTCTCCTCCTCCTGCTCCCGCCCCCAAGGAATTGTGGGAATGTGTTTTGCTCCACTTGCTGTAACCAGAAAGTGCCCGTTCCTAGTCAACAGCTCTTCGAACCCAGCCGAGTCTGCACCTCCTGCTACAGCAGCCTGCACCCCAATGGCTCCAGCCTGGACCTCGAACGGGAGAAACCCATCGCCGCCTCGTCCAATTGAAGCACCAGCCCAGAAGGAAGCGGGGACAGAGACCACGCCGCCACGTCTCCGAAATGGGCACGCTTGGTGGGCAGAGGCTGGGGGGACAGGAGAAGCCATGCCCTTGGGCGCTTGGGCCCTGAGTCACGGCGGAGAGGCACAGAGCTCTAGGACATACCATTGGCTTGTGGAGTTCTTGTTCAACTTCCTCCCCCTTTCCTTTCTGTCGTGTTGGGTGTGTGTGTGGGGGGGGTGGTTTTTATGGAAGACTATAGAAGTGGGGGAGGGTGCTGGGCCAGAACCGGCTCTCCCTAGTGCTTCTCGCTGCCCCCCACCCTCATTGAACTGTGGCGCAGACAACCGTTTCGATGGAATGGAGGACTTCACCCACCCACAGCGCGTGGCTCGCGTATCTCTGTAGCGTTACGTGCTAGCGCTTTCAGTCACTCCTCTGACTTCCAAACGCAAACGTGCCGTTTGGGAAATTTGCTGCTAGAAACCACGGGCAGGGTGTTCTTTCCCGAAAGCCACGCCCCCCTCTGTCCCGAGCGTGGGTTTCGCTCGCCTCGCGGCATGGAAAGGGCCTCAGTCACCGATGTCCACCCTCAGCGGCTCTGTAGTTGATCTATGTTTTGTCGCCGTTAGCCAAGCGGAAACACCCGGACAGCTTGGAAGGGTATTGACGGGCTTGACAGTGGTGCTTCTGTAAACGCAACTCCGTAAAAAGAGAGCAACGTGTGGAGAAATTAGAACCTTTAAAACTACTTCCCCAGTCCCGTTTTTTAATACAGATTGCAGAGCCGACGGACTGTTAAGGCCCTTGCTGTGGTGCATCCAAACCTACGCCGAGTGTCAGACCGATCCTCAAACTCACACTTTAACGAGAGACTTCCAAACAACTGGAAAATGAGCAAATTGGGGCTGCTAGGCGGGGAAAAGAAATAGATCGATGCTTGTGATAGTTGCGGGTCACGTCCTCTCTTTCAGTCTGTGCTCCGTAGACTCCCGAGGTGAAACCACCACTCAAGCATCTCAAGAACCAAAACAAATCTTGCCTTTCCCTCCCCCCCACCCCCGTGAATTTGAAAGCAACTTTTTAAATCCCCTCTTTAAATTGTGAGTCTTTGGAACGTATTTCTTAATGAGAACGTTCGATACCCACAAAGCCCTTTTCCTTTCACGGCTGGACGCAGTTGGAAGAAGGAAAATCTATTGTAATGTCCCGTTTTACAGTCTGTGATCGCTTTTACTTCTGACGCGCTCACGTGGAACAAACTCGCTTGGAGGACGTAAAAGTTTTCGACTGTAAATGTGCAAGGAGTTATAATGGCTCTTGAGCTTGAGGGGTACTTGCCTTCAGTGGACCATCAAAATGACACCTCTTCGAGTGAACTTTATAAGGAGAGAAGCGTCTCTGAACAGCCGATAGAACCTTAGGGGGAAAGACGTGTTTTATTCTCGGTATCACGCCGCTTGGGAAAGGTTCATACGCTGCTGTAGGGTCAGCTGACGATCGACGCAATGGAAATGAATGTTCCAAGGGGCTGACGCAGAACAGTGACCGTGCTGTTGTGTGTGTTTCGAAACACGTGGCAATCATCGAGGGGGGAGGCGGGGAGGAAAGCAAAGCCGTTGGCGTTTTATCGCGAATGAATTCTGCTCGGGGAAAATGCAGCAAACATCCAGACGAAACCGGCTGTCGCGGTTACAGTGCCGGGTACAGCCGAGGAAGTCGGAACAGAAACCGTTGCGACGGCTTGTGGGCGTGGGGTCGTTCTGCACACCCACGGGGTGCAGTTTTGGGGTGCAAAGCGTCTGGGATTCTGCAGTTTCTATTGACAGGTGCCAAGAGGTTCTGATACGGGTTTTTTGGGTATGTGACATACAGTGTGAATAAACGCTTGCAACTCTTAGTCTTTTTTGATCAATGAAGCACTTTTTTATTAATATTATTTTTCTTTGTATGTAAAGGGGGAACTGATTTCTCTCCATAGCTGTATATATAACCCTTCTCTCCTAAGGAGGAGTTAAAAGTGCTCCTATATTTTTCATTTTTGTCAAAGCGAGGAGTAAATACTTTAGAATTGTTAAATATATAAATAAAAGTGAATAAAGTTTAGCATTTTGCCTGGGCGCCTTTGCTAATACACGTCCCTCGTTTATTTTTCTTTCCTGTCCTTCGTAGGGGAAATGTTTGAGGTCCACTAGAAACACCAAAAGCTTTCGTAAACCTCCTGCTTTCTTTTTCACTGAGAGTCTTTGCAAGGAACACACCAGTGTTTCTACCCACTTGCTGTGACATTTACCGCCTGACAATGCCGTAGTTCTTTGTCGAGCGATTGCCCCATCGTCAGAAGCTTTCCCCCTCGCGAGCGGTACCCGTTGGGTCAGCTGTGGAGCCTCCTGGAGCGGCACCTTCATGGCACAACAAGATATACGACTCTGCCAACCCGCTGCCATCCTACCAACAGGGAATATTATTAGAACTCCTTTTTCTCTTGCTTTGCAAGATATCCCTATAGTGGTGGATGCAGCGGGGGGGAAAGTTGTTGAGCCAAAAAAAAAAAAAAAAAAAAGTTTGCCCTTTTAAGAGCAGAGCAGGCATTGCCCTTTTAAGGCGGCCATTTTGAAGTCCGTATGGGACACCGGACCTGGCTCTTTCAGAGGGGGCAGGGGCGTGTCAGCTCTTCACGGAACCTGCAGAGCACCAATTGGGAAACACTGGCGTAAAGTTGTTGAGGAAAAAATAAAAAAAACGCTGCCCCTTTAAATTTTGTCTTTGAAGAGCCACATGCCACCTCTGCTGTAGCTGTTCTCGTATAGGAACCTGCCCTGGCCTCTTCCATGCACAGCACACTGGCCTCGGTGATGCATTGGCACCAAAAAAAGAGGGCCACAAGGCGCACTAAAATTCTCCCCACAACAGGAGACCAGCTCCTCGATGTGGCACCGTTCGCAGGCTCTGGTGCTGCACAAGGAAAAGCAAGAGCATCGAGAGGGGTGCCTGGGAGGTCCCGGTATGGAAAAGTAGCAGGTTTCACACACAGCAGGCAGTTTTTCTGCACACAGTGCACAGCCCACCTGTGGAACTCCTTGCCGAAGGATGTTGTGAAGACCAGGACTTGAACGGGGTTCAAAAAAGAGCGAGATAAATTCACAGAAGGTAGGTCCGTCAATGGCTATTAGCCAGGACGGGTAGGGTGGGGAAGTGGTGTTGCATGGTGAGCACGTCGCGAAGGATACCACGGGTGAGACCCACGTGTCCCATTGTTTAGCATCACTCAACCTTGCTGGCCAATGCTACTGTGGCAAAATGTATGTACTGGCAAGTGCTGAATACCCATCAGGTGTTTACCAGGTGTGTCTGAGTGGGTTAGCCTGTTTCCCAAACACACCACGAATCAACACCCCCAAAGTGGCCGTTCTTTGGCAAGAACACCGGGCGGGATCACACAAATCTTATCTTGACAAAGGGCAGCACGAAACCTCGGCCTCACCAAATTTCCACGCCTCCTTGTTCTCCGTTGGAGAGAACTTTCAACTAGGTAGGGGTTGCGCTTGGGAAAATGGTTTTCAAAGGGTGACTGAACTGTAAAAGACGAGCCAAACCATCCTGCCCGATCTCTGTGGCCCATCTCTCGCTCTTGTCTAAGAGGACAGAAGCAAGTCCCCGTAGAGGAGATCCTGCCCTACCACTTAACCAGCAACGCAGCCGGAAACCAGAGGTAAGAATTTCACCCGGAAACCCAGAGGTAAGAATTTCATGTGGAGGGCTGAACACGTGGTAGCATTTTATGTTTGCTTTGTAACCGTTTCCAACGGACGCTTGTACTGACAACCCCCCCTTAACCAGCTCTGTGTACTGAGATCAACTTCTGTTGTGTAACCCACACACAGGCGGCGTAGGGAACTGTGTGGGTAACTCCATTGAAGGGGGTGGATCTTGCTGCCCTCGGGTACATCTAGACGACAGGCTTTTGTTGACAGATACTGTTGACAAAGCTGCTGTCGACAAAGAGCATCAGACTACAGTCAGTTCTGTTGACAAAGCAAGCCGCGTTGTCGACATGACAGTGTAGACGCAAAGGACAGTGTAGATGCAATAATGCCTTCTATCGACAGAACTCTTTTTTTGAAATCAGATGGAATGTCGGTTGTGATGTCATGTCGAGTGTGTCCGGTATTTTTGTTGAAACTGTCTGGCAACCGTAGAGACGGCCCAACCCTCTGGTGGTTGAGGGGGGCAGAGCCAGGTCTGGAATAGCCTTCGGGGTTGGAGGGGGAGAATCAGCCATGGGGAGAGAGCCACACCTTGGCCTGGCCCTACCCAATGGGTTGGGCGTGACCCAGGGCTGCCTACCCCCAGGTGGGGGGGGGGCCCAGCCCCCTAGTAAGTGTGTGTTGAAAAATGATTTTTTTGTTGTTGTAAAAGATGTGCTAATACGGTAACACGTTACCGTATTAACACATTTTCTGTGCAAGCTCAGAATTCCCATCTCAGTGCTTTTCCGAGCCAAGACCGTGTTTTTGAAGGACATGTTTATTTTAATTTTCTGGTGAGTTTGTATTTCTGTAATAAGACAAGTTTTATGTTTTATTTAGGAATCCGTGTTGGGTTTTTTTTCCCGGTTTCAAAACATGGCTTGTGGTGTTAATACGAATGGATGGAGATGATTGGATTATTCACAGGCGTCACCTAGAACGGGTTGAACCATTTTTCAAATGCCGGCTTATGGACGAAAGGGCTTTTTTTTTTAGAATTTTTAAAAATGATTTAATATTTTTAGGAATGGCTAAAGACAGCCCGTGCCCAGGAGTTGCACTATTGATAAATTGAAAATGGCAGTGACGGAGCAGCGCTTTGTGCGGATTTTTGCAAATGCGTTTAGTTTCTTATTGCCGCAAGCAGCTTAATTTGTGAAACATGTTTCTCGTAATTTATTATTTTGATCAATACAAAAGACGAAGGGGGGAAGGCGATTTATCATGGAGTTCGGGCCAAGTTAGTTTAATTGGAACGTGTGGTTTGAGAACACGAATTTTTACTCGTATTTTTACAAAGTGAGCATTGGTAGGGTCGTTTTCAAGGCTTTTGCGTTATGCTGGTGTGTGATAATATTCAGACCCGTCCTTTGAGGTGGCGGGAGTTGGGCTTTTTTAGGTTTTTAACGGAGAGCCCAAACTGTCTTCGGCAGCTTTTTTGTTTGACTACGTCTAGACTGGCATGATTTTCCAGAAACTGTTTGACTATGTCTAGACTGGCATGATTTTCCAGAAATGCTTTTAACGGAAAAGTTTTCCATTAAAAGTATTTTCAGAAAAGAGCGTCTAGATTGGCATGGACGCTTTTCCGCAAAATAGCCCCGATCGTCATTTTCGCGATCGGGGCTTTTTTGCGGAAAACAAATTGAGTCGTCTACACTGGCCCTTTTGCGCAAAAGGACTTTTGCCCAAACGGGAGCAGCATAGTATTTCCGCAAGAACACTGACAATCTTACATGAGATCGTCAGTGCTTTTGCGGAAATTCAAGCGGCCAGTGTAGACAGCTGGCAAGTTTTTCCGGAAAAGCGGCTGATTTTCCTGAAAAACTGGCCAGTCTAGACACAGCCTTTGTGTTTTCGGGTTTTAACTATGACGGTGTCTCTCCCCAGGAGAAGACACACGACTTTTGGAGGGGGTGGGTTTTTTTGATTGGCTGTGTGCCGCATGAATATGTTTTCGACAAGACGAGGGCAGTGGTTCTCAAAGCACGGGCCCAGTGGTCCACGGCCGCCTCCCAGGTGGTCTGTGGCGGGAACCCCCCCCCATGCCTCGGGGAAGTGAAGAAAGCAAACGCGTTACCCCCCTTCCCCGCAGCGTGGGCCACGGAGCTACACAGAGAGACTCTTGTGGTGCGTGAGGGGGCCGGCTGTCATGGGGGGGGGGTCCAATTCTCTCTGCCTCTGGCACACCTGACTCTTACAAGCTCCCTTCTTTCTACTGCGCCTATTCACTTACTGCCAGATGCTCCAGCCGCGAGGTGCCATCCATCCCACCGCTGCCACCATCGTCTCGGTGCATCAGGGAGCCTCCGACCTTGCACCCCCGCCCACAGCCAGACGGGACTCGCCGCCGGCAGGTAGAACAGAAGGTTTCTTGGTTCTCAGGGACACGGCGTAACGTGGGATCGATGTGTGCGCAGGGACCGAGAGCCGCTCGCATCGTTCCTCTCTCCTCCCCCCTTCCTGGCAGCAATGCGGGGGCTGAGGACCTTGCATACGCAGGAGGCAGCTGGGGGCTCGGGGGCTTTGAGAGGGGCCAAGCAGTGGGGCACCATGGACTGGACCCCCCCCCGTAGGACCTAATCCCCCCCACCCCAGGGCCACCTACCCCCGCCTTGCTGCACCCAGCCTCCC